AGCTACGTCCCATCCCAGGCTGTCCTCTCATTTGTGACCCATTCACCTCTTGAACTTTCTCCAGTTTGGGACAAAACTGGAGTATTTTATTAATCAAAACTTGCCTAAAGCTGCTGTAAATATTGGTGTACAGCTGCTGGTATGGACTTAGGCTTTCATTTCTTTCCAGTGAATGAATCCCCAGGGTGAGGGCCTTGGTTTAAACTCTGTGCTACTTGAGCGTGGGGGGGCTTCCGAGCTGGTCCTTACAAGCTGCTGGGTCCCAGATGGCGAGACCCTGCTTGGCTGTGCCRTCTCGTCCTGTGGGAGTTGGGAACCTGTGTGATGGGGTGTTTGGCAAGGAATATTGAGGCTCATGCTGCTTGAATGGCAGGAAACAGGAGTCAGATGGAGACAAACCCTCCATTGTTTCATGTTCTAGAAACTTGCGGAATGTGTGAGGCAGCTCCCTCCAGCTGCTGGAACCACCTGAGTAGGGGATGGTGCTTGGAGAGGGAGGGGTGTGGAGAGCAGCCCCCTCGTCCTCTCCTGGGCCCAAGTGGGAAGCAGCTGTAGGTGGCCGGGGCCTCTGCCGTGGCTGTCCAGAGCGGCTCTGCTCACCCTTAGGTCCCACTCCCAGGACTTTTTTCTCTGTCTTTTTAAATTGTGGTAAAATGTATTTAATGTATAAGATTTTCTACTTTGCCCACTTCTTCACGTGCAGCTCCATGRCGTTGGGGACATTAACATCTGTGCAGCCAGCCCCTCTGTCCATCTCCAGAACTTCTCAGCTCCCCAAATTGAGATTCTCCACTAAACCCCGCCTGCCCCCTTCACCCCCTCCCRGCCCCTCCCTCCCACTTTCTCCTGGCATTGGCTGTTCTGGGACCTCAGGTGGGGTCTGAAGTGGCCTAGTGTCTGGCTTCTTTCTCTTGGCGTCTGTTCTTCCAGGTTCTAGGACTTTGGGGCCAGAGCTTATCCCGGGGGCTCATGTCCCTTAGCAGAGGTGACACTGGCTTTTACTCACTAAATCCCCACGGRGCAGGTTGACTTTTCTCTCTAGCCCACCCCCAGGGCCGTGTTTTCTGTGTCAGCTCTGCCACTCCCACCTGGGCCTGAACTGGACAAACCTCACCTCCACCCCTGCATCCGGGCCTGGGGACACCCAAGCCAACCTCTGCTGGCCCCAGAGCCTGCAGGCTCGTTCTGTGCACGTGCTGGGGTTGCTGGTGGCCTGACGGGTGGGTGTTTCTGTTCTTGTCACCCTCCACCAACCTGAATGGAGGGTTCTGCTGCTGTTCTTGCCCCTTGTTGGGGACCCCAGGCACTTGGTGCCGCTGCTGTGTGGTGTGGCCCTCCGTGCCTCTGGAAACCGTGTCTCAAGCCACAGCGGTGCCTCTGAGGGCAGTGAGGGACGGTGGGCCAAGAAGCTCCAGGTGGGCCTGGTGGTGATGTCCAGACATGTGGTCACATGCCCTTGATGACATGGTGCAGGCATGAGTGCTGTGACCTTTTAGGTGACCTGTGGATGTACTTGGCCAGCCACTGTGGCTCCCTCCCACCAAAAGTGTGAGCATTTTCCATAATAAACAGGAAATTTTATTCACCTGTGAAAATATTGCCTTAGCTCCATTTTTGACTCCTGCCTAGGTGCTGGCCAGGAACTGGGCTTGTGGGCCGGGTGGGGGCGGGGGCGGGCTGGGATTCAGACTCCGGCCTTCTCCGCTTTTGTTCCCTGTGGACGAGAGGTAGGGGCGGGAGGCCAAACTGGGTGGGACTTGGGAGGGTGACCTCAGCTCCCCAGGCACTGTCCTGACTGCCAAGCCAAATCCAACACGGCTGAGCACAGCCCATCAGGGCKCCCCTGTTCCCAGGAACTTGGTTTTGGCATCGCTGCGTCCCCAGCTGTGTGGATTCTAGTTCCCACTTGTGGTGGGGTGAGGACACAGTGTGACGAGGGAGAAGTCGGGCTCACTTTTGCTGAGTGAGAGGCCTCCATTATTTCCTGAGACTTGGTTTTTCAGTGCTGGCCTGTGTTCCTAAAGCTACTCCTCAAAAAGTGGCCCCATGGGTCAGCCGGGGCGTGGCCTGTGGCCTGGGGCAGCACCATCCCTTCCAACTTCTGCTGACTTTTCATTCCCTGAGTGTCCGCTCCCTGCTCCGGGACCAGGGAGTCCCTGCAGCCTTGTACTTTGGAACTGGAAGCCTGTGGTGGCTGTCAGCTGGCATRTAGTGTCCTGGCACTTGCTCAGTGCGCTCCCTCACCTGGGCACGTTGAACCTGGACACTCTGCTGCCCTGGCTATTGTTGGCTAGAGCCCCCGGGAAGCAGATCGGTTCCCCTGCCCAGACAGAAGCCCAGCCCCAGCTACTGCACACCTCTGCCTGGGGAAGAGTTGCCTTCTGGTCAGCATGCCGTGTYCCTGTCCTCTGGTCAGCATGCCGTGTCCCTGTGGTGCTGCAGCAGCAAAGAGTTGCAAAGCACAGCTCTGAGGAGCTCCCCCCCACCATGCTGTCACTAAAGTGGTGGATCTGGGATTTTCTTTACATTTTGATGACTTGCCTCAAGGAGTCTGGCCTCTGACCTCCAAGTCAGGCCAAACACTGGTAGCTCTAAGTTCCTGACCAGTGATGGAATTCCAGGCCCCTCAGTCCCTTGTTCCCAGGGAACTCCACGCCCCCTCCTCCAGTTGTTCCATTTCCTGCTAGGTCCCTGTGGGGGGCCCTCCCATTACCKCATTTAATCCTGCCTGTAGGACCTAGAGAGAAATCATGCAGATACAGTAAAACTCAGAAGTGAAGTCACCAGTCAGTGGCTAGAGCCAGGAGCAGAGTCCAGAACTACCTTATTTCAGAGACTGTTCTTTCTGGCTGTCCCAGCATTGGGAGAGGCACAGCAACCCTTAAAGCGCACTTGACCTGGGGCCTGGCAACACGAACATTGTTGTCTTAGGGAGCAGAATCGCGTCCTGGCAGCCCGGCGGTGGCAACCCTGTAGCCTAAGCGCCTTGGGACCCACAGCCTCTCCAGCAGCCGGGCTGGGGACTTGCCTCCAGCCTGGGAGGGCTGGGAGGGCCTGGCAGGATGGGGAACACAAACGGCACCGAGGCCTGAGCTGCCCTCCTGGCTGCCATGCAGCACYGAGCAGGCCTGAGAGGGCCACATCCACATTCCTTGGACGGTTGTCCTTTTTTGTGAGCTCCCTTCCCCCTGCCATCTTTCTGTCTCTCTTGTCTGCAGAATGCATGTCAGACTAGTGGTTGGGGGCACCATGTGGTCTTCACGGGGAATGCCAGGTGCAGGCTGTCTGGGCGGGCCCCGGGCATGCCCCCTCCTATAGAGCATCTGCGGGAAGGGCTTCTCTGGTTTCTTCTCAGGAGTTGGTGACTGCTCTCTGGGAAGTGCTCTGTGGTTCTTAGAGGGCTGGCCTACGTCTGTAGTGGCTTGGGCACAGGTGCAAAACAAGGAAAAGGACCGGCACTTTGTGGGCTATGCCAAATTCCCTGGGGACTCTAGGCTGCTGCCATACACAACCCGCCTTTCTCATAGTGTTCCTAAAAGGCGAGAAGCAGAATTTTCACTTCTGGGATCAGTGGAAGCAGTGGAAAGATTTTGAAGAGCCATAATTGTCAGATAAGATACTAGTTAAAGGGGCTGGGGATGTGGCTCAAGCGGTAGCGTGCTCGCCTGGCATGCGTGCGGCCCGGGTGCGATCCTCAGCACCACATACAAACAAAGATGTTGTGTCCGCTGAGAACTAAAAAATAAATATAAATTAAAAAAAAAAAAAAAAGATACTAGTTAAAAACACTATTGCGGAGACTCCAGAATGGCCCGAGTCAGATACCCAGGAGTTTATGTGAAAAATAATAGTCCCAGCCACCGGGAACACACAGCTTCCATCTTTGAACTCAAGTGTCTACTCTGCTCCTACCATTACATCTGTATCCCAGTTCCCAGGGAGAAAACCAAAAGGGCTCTTACACCTTTTCTTATTTCTGTTRCAACGAAGGATGGAAAATGCAGGCTTAACCTGGAAGCCATGAATCCAACTTAAAATAGAGACTTTTGTTGTAAGTGGCAGAATTCCAGTTAGCCTGTCAGATGGCACAAGTCATTTTAATTGGTTGAGTTTGATTGGACCTTAATTGGTTGGTGAGAAACAGCATAAAATAGGGTTCAGTGCTGGAGCTGGTCTGGGAGAGTCACTTGGTCACAGAGACATGCTTCAGAGGGCTGCAGTGCAGCTCAGAGGCAGAGCACTTGCCGAGTGTGTGTGAGGCCCTGGGTTCCGGCCCTTGTGCCGTGGGGGTGGGGGTGGGGGTGGGGGAGAAATATTTGACACCTACAAAGGGAAGTGGTTTGCAGCACTCCACGGCTCGATGTAGAGCAGAGGTCAGCAAACTTTCTGGAAGGGTCAGAAAGTCAATGTTCCCAGCTCTGCAGACTTCACGATCTGTCACAACCGAGCTCTGCTGTTATGGACAACAGCAGCCCTGGACACACAGATGAGTGTGGCCGTTTACACAGCAGGTGGGGGGCTTGCGTCGCCTCTGAGCTGTAGTTTGCCAGCCCCTGTTGTAGAAAATAAGAGAGATTCTTGCAAAATAGGGAGCCTGGCACGTAAGCACCGAACAGGTGGCCACTAGACTGCAGACGCTGCTGGTGGGCGCACAGTTGGCAGGCGGCAGCGCCTGGGTCCATCTCTCCTGCCCTACTGTGCGAAGCCACATTGCTAGGGTCATCTTGCCCTCACGTGACCCACTTTAGAACAGGCTGGGTGGCTTCTGTGCGCGAGCACCTATCCACGCCAGGTGCCGCGTGTAAGAAGAGTATGGCCATGTGGCRCCGAAGTAGGGGAGACCCAGCGACCCTGTCCTGGGCAGCGGTGCTGCTCAGATACCTGCCTTCCGGGGACTTGAGGAGCACCCCYGGGTACGGCGGTTCCATGCCAAGTCAGGGCCGAGAGCCAACAGGGCAGCCTGGGCCCTTGGCTCCCCGCCTCACCCCTCTTTYCCCCAGGTTACGACTTCGCTGCGGTCCTGGAGTGGTTCGCCGAGCGGGTGGACCGCATCATCCTGCTCTTCGATGCCCACAAGCTGGACATCTCCGACGAGTTCTCTGAGGTCATCAAGGCCCTCAAGAACCACGAGGACAAGATCCGCGTGGTSCTGAACAAGGCCGACCAGATCGAGACGCAGCAGCTGATGCGGGTGTACGGGGCCCTCATGTGGTCCCTGGGCAAGATCATCAACACCCCCGAGGTGGTCCGCGTCTACATTGGTTCTTTCTGGTCCCACCCGCTGCTCATCCCCGACAACCGAAAGCTCTTCGAGGCCGAGGAGCAGGACCTCTTCAAAGACATCCAGTCTCTGCCCCGAAACGCTGCCCTCAGGAAGCTCAATGACCTGATCAAGCGGGCCAGGCTGGCCAAGGTAGACCCTRGGGCAAGGGGCTGGGCACAGCATCAGATGGGGCCCAAGGGGCCCGGGGCTCTAGGGCTGGAGGTTTGCCTGAGACGCAGCCCAGCTGTCTGCAGAGCCAGACCAGTGTTGCTCTTTCTGTGTCACAAGCCACTGCTCTGTGGCCCTGTGGTGTAGCCCAGGGTTGTGCCTCCCTGTGTCAAAGTCTGAATGTGTGTTCAGCATGGAAACAGGAAGTTACCACAGAAGAAAGGAGGTGCCCCGGAAATGGAGTGTGCTGTACRTAGCTCAGGCCTCCACAGCTGCCCCTCAGGCTTCGTTGTGCATTAAAGTGCGCGGTCTGGTGGTGGTACTGGGGGTGTAGTAGGGACGGCACCCAGCCCCGGGCCAGCCCTTGGTGGCCTTGTAAGGAAAACAAGGCACAAATGAAAACAAGCATCAAGCATCTGTGCTGTTACAGGTAGGCTGGGGGCTGCGTGGCCACAGCTGGGAGCCATCCCAGGGGACAGAGGGCCATGGGGTGGCCTGAGGTGGGAGCTGCTGTCCAGGAGACAAGAGGTAGCTAGTGAAGAGATAGGCCCTGGCCTTCAGCCCAGAGAGAGCACCGGTGCGTAAGCCCACACCCCRGGAGGCGGCAGCGGCTACGCAGGTCCTGCAAACCATCCTGACCCTCCAGAGGAGCTCAGAGCCCGTTGCACCTGACACAACATCTGTGTCACTTGAGCTTTTGGGATCTGGGTGCCTGGCCAAGTGCTTGAGTGAGAGTCTGGGGTAGCGGAGGCTAGGAAACCCCGTCAGCACCCCAGTGAATCCTTCAAGCACAGAGCAGAAGGTGTCACTTTAGGATGTCTGATTTTTTTTTTTTTTTTTTTGGTAACACTGAGGTTGAATCCAGGAACACTCTGCCACTGAGCTACATATCCAGACCTTTTTATATTTTTTTTTTCTGAGACAGAGTCTCACCAGGTTGCCCAGGCTGGCCTCGAACTTTCAGTCCTCTTGCTTCAGCCTTCCCCCAATTGCTGGGATTCTAAGTGAGGCCACCATGCTCAGCTCAGAATTGGTGTCCCCAATGAGCACTTGTCAGAAACTTGCTCTGGGGAGGGTACAGGGCTCTTCATTTTTCTAGATACCCAGGACTYCCTGTGAGCAGAGCCGGCTCTGAGATGGGAGCCTATGGTCTCAAAGGACCAAGAAGAGCCTGAGCTGAGGGGCGGCCCTGACCCTGCTCTCCCCCAGGCTGYAGAGAGCGGCCCTAGCCTCGGCCTGCTCAGCCTCCATCGGCGAGAGGCAGAACAGGGCAGGCCGGACTCCCTGCCCTCAGAGATGGCTTGTAACTCTCTAGTCATATGCCTGGAAAGCCCCGGGGTCTCTAGTTTTGTCCCACACCTGCTGTTTTGTGGCTGCTTCCTTTTCCTGGGTACTAGCGCTAGCCTGTGCTGGGAGAGTGGTGTCTGTGGCTGTGACCCACCTGCTACAGCATCCCTAGGAGATCCCAGATGCCAGCCCCAGAGCTGGGGGAGCTGCCAGTGGGACTGAGTAGGGTGCACTAGAGGGGCTGGAATGGCCACGGGAGGGGAGAGGCCGCCAGCAGCAGCCCTCTGTGACTGGACATCACTTGGCAGGGCTGAGCGATTTGAGGGCTGGGCTGCTCTTGGTTGGGGCACTAGTGCAACCAGCCTGGAGCAGGCGGCAGATGAAAGGTGGCCGCCCTTAATTGGGAAATGTGTAAGCAAGGCTTGAAGCTGAGCAGAACCTCGCAGCAGCTGGAGAAAGCCTTTGTGGGTCCTTCGTGGGTCCTTCTAGTCCTCAGTCATCCCGAGGCTGGTGGTGCGCAGAGCAGAGCTGGGACTGCATTGGAGCTTGGGAACGCCTGAGCACAGCACAGATTTGAGGCTGTAGGCAGGGACACCCACCGCACCCCACTCCGCCCCCACCCCACTGCCTGGCTCTGCAGGGAGCGCTCGCCTCCCCTGCCTTGGCAGCTGAGGTCAAAGAGAAGCAGGCAGAACGGGGCCCTGGGACACCCTCCGCTGCCCCATTACATGCCCACTTCTGCCCCCAGCACCTTGAGCACCTTGCTCCTGGGCCAGGCTTCCAGACGCTCTGAGCTCACTGGAAGAGACTGAGTTCTCCTGGCCCGAGGTTCAGGGGAGGGGGTGCAGTGCCTCATGGCGCCTCTCAGTGCTCAGCTGGTGGCCTTCTCTTGTTGACAGGCAACACTTGTCATCATGACTTGTGCAGGACGTCATCTGCCTTCTGTTGCAGGTGCACCCTCCTTTCCTCTGTCCCCATGGCAGGGAGGGGTTGTGCCTCTTGCCAAAATGTGTCCATCCCTAGACCCGGGAATCCTATGGTGGAATAGCAGCTTTGAGTGTGACCCCGGCCCCTCTGCCTTCCTGCCCCCAGGCAGTGAGCAGCGGGCACCTGGCTGCATTCCTGAAGGCTCTTGGGCGGCCAGGGCACATGCCAAGCAAGCCCCTGACGCCCAGCCCTTCTGCCCACCCAGGTCCATGCCTACATCATCAGCTCCCTCAAGAAGGAGATGCCCAACGTCTTTGGTAAAGAGAGCAAGAAGAAGGAACTGGTGAACAACCTGGGTGAGATCTACCAGAAGATTGAGCGGGAGCATCAGATCTCCCCCGGAGACTTCCCGAGCCTCCGCAAGATGCAGGTAGGCCGCCCTGAGAAAGGCCAGGGCATAGGGTGCTGGCTCTGGAGGGAATCCTGGCTGCAGGGGGTAGTGCTTCCCCAGAGGGACGCAGCTGGGTTAGTCACCTGCACCCCACCCGAGTCAGGGTTGACCCAGGTTGTGACACCAAGGAGGGGAATGTGGTGACTCAGCAGGGGGTGGGGACCTTGAGCATCCTGTCTGACTCCTGGAGGGTGCTGCTGAGCCGGGCTCACAGCGCTGGACGGTCAGCGAGGAACTGGCTGCCTCCTTTGTATTTGTTTTGTTTTTGCGGTTCTGGGTTCAGAACCCAGGGCTTCACACGCGCCAAGCAAGCGCTCTACCCTGAGCTACACCCCAGCCCCAAAACCTGGTCTGTCCTTGTGAAGCCAGGGCCGCTGCCCCACCCAGCCCTCTCCTTTCTCCTCCACCCTAGGAACTACTGCAGACCCAGGACTTCAGCAAGTTCCAGGCCTTGAAGCCCAAGCTGCTGGACACAGTGGACGACATGCTTGCCAACGACATCGCTCGACTGATGGTGATGGTGCGCCAGGAAGAGTCCCTGATGCCCTCCCAGGCCGTGAAGGGCGGCGCCTTCGATGGCACCATGAACGGGCCGTTTGGGCACGGCTATGGCGAGGGGGCCGGTGAGGGCATCGACGACGTTGAGTGGGTAGTGGGCAAGGACAAGCCCACCTACGATGAGATCTTCTACACACTGTCACCTGTCAATGGCAAGATCACAGGAGCCAACGCCAAGAAGGAGATGGTGAAGTCCAAGCTGCCCAACACGGTGCTGGGGAAGATCTGGAAGCTGGCCGACGTGGACAAGGACGGGCTGCTGGACGACGAGGAGTTCGCCCTGGCCAACCACCTCATCAAGGTCAAGCTGGAGGGCCACGAGCTGCCCGCCGACCTGCCCCCGCACCTCGTCCCGCCCTCCAAGCGCAGGCATGAGTGACCGCCCCGGCCATGCAGGGCCACCCGGATGTCCTGCCCACCCTCTGTGCCTGCCCAGGTGGGCGGGGCCTGGGAGGCAGAGATTGGGGGAGGGGAAGGGTCACCACCTTTCAAGGTCCATAAAGACTGAGCGGTGTTTCCTCAGTTCTCAAACAGGAAGACCACCATCTTTCTTTAAGGCTGTTCCTGGGCCCGTTGGGGGAGGCGGGGTGACGCTCGGATGTGAATGATGGAATTTTGTGCACAAGAACTATGGATATTTTTAATATATAACRTTAGAGGCAGCCTTCTTTCTTGCCTCCTCCTCTGTCCGACAGCCCATGCACACACACCCTCTCTTCCGTCCCAGCCTTTACTCTTGCCCTGGCTAGCCGCCATGGCAACTGACCCCAGGGTGCTGGGCCACCTGGCCCGCCTCAGCTCATGGTCTGGCAGCTGCCACCAGGGGCCGCCGAATAGACAGGAGCCCCAGTTCCCTGTGTTTCCAGACTGGGGATGGCCTCGAGCAGCGGCTCTGCCCCAAGCCCCTGCTCCTGGGGTGAGCCAGTCTAGTGTCTCCCCTCCCGGCCTGGACAGCCTGGGCTCCCGGTGCCCAGGCCCCACCCCTGCCCCTCACACCCCCAATCCACCAGCCCTACAGTGTGGCGGCCACAGGTGCCAAGCCCAGCCGCTGGCCTGTTGTTTTAGGGGGCTGCAGGGAGGAGTGAGCGCCTTCCAGGAACACGTAAGCTAGGTCTTGTTCTATAAAGGGACACCTTTCAGACTTGACCAGATTTTCAAGAAACTTCCACATAACTAGTTCAAAAGCTGGGACTTTTGTCTCTCTTGCCTACAGTCCAGCTTTGGGGCAGCTTCACCCAAGAGCCATTAGGGGTGTGGAGTAGGTCGGAGCCACCTTTCAGTGGCCCAGGTTTGCTTTCTGGCCCAGGAGGGGCGGCCGTCCCAGGCCTGGCCCAGAGGTGCCTGAACTGTGGCCCTGGCTCGCTYTCTGGCCTGCTGGAGCCTCCTGGCACTCTTCTTGAGGTGGGTGGAGGACCCCTGGGACCTGGTGTGGCTTGGGGCTGTGAAAGGAAGCCTGCGGCTCTGGCCTCCTGCCAGGCAGCAGGGACCAGGGGAAAACCCAGCCCCTTCGCCCCGTTTTCCTCTCCCTTTCCTACCTTCCCCTCCCCCTGAGCAAAGGGGGCACACAGGACCTGATCTCCTCAGATGGACCCCACAGCCCCAGAATGAGCAATRAAACCAGAGCCAGCAGGCAGCCAGYGCAGCCACCTTACTCTGTGCCGCCTTGGGGACCTGGGGACCTGGATGCTGTCGCTGGCCAGGGCAGATGGAGCAGCCTCCTGTGCTCAGGTGGGCTTCAGGGAGCCGCTTGCCCACCGTAGTGCTGCTGCTGGCCCGTCCCCCACTGCCCTGGCCTGCCTTTCATCCTGTGTGGTGTCGGGTGAGGCTGGGTGAGGTGCGTCCCCACCGCCCCGCTGGCATTCCCTGGGTAAGGGCACCTGTTCACACTCACCTGGGGGCACGTGYCAGACTGGAGACTGTTTTCCTTGCATTAAAGAAAGTTTTCATTGTGCCGACGCTGGCTCCTGGTGCTCAGTTGTCTCTTCCAGGGCCAAGAGCCCCAGACTCCTCCCACTCGGGACCCAGGGGCCACTGGCAGAGCATTTGGGGGACCAAGACTCCGGCAGGGACAGGTTGGGCAGCCTGCCAGGGCGAGAGGGCCACCGCTGCCCAGTCCACTAACTATAGAAAATGCCGCCTCCTGTTACCGGGGTCCTGCAGACGAGAGTAGGGAGAGGGGCTTGGGGAGGAGCTGAGGCCTGCTTCCCTGTTGGGTGGGGGCTGAGCTTGAGGAGCTTATTCTGGTGGGGCTAACAGTTGGCAAAGCCAGGCGACCTGGGCCAGGTGGGCACCTCTGCGCGCCACCTTCACAGCATCACTTCATGCTGGGCTCCACCTCAGAGACAGACAGTGGGCGCCCTTGGGGCCCTTGGCACCTGGAGGGGTTCGGTAAACAGGGGTTTCTGGGCTCCAGCCCCAGCCTGGCTCCACACTCACCCTGAGGGCTGTTTAAAGACARGGAAGGCAGCTCAAGACAGACAAAGCAGAGGCAGTGACAATCCACACAGCTTTGGGTGGGGCCAGAAGGGCCAGCTGATGTCACAGATAGAAGGCCTGTTTGTACCAGCAAAGGAAAGGGTGACAAATCGGCAGTGACCGTGCCCCAGGAGGGTGCAGACTGGAGGTGCAGACTGGAGGTGCAGCTGGGGAGACTGCTCCAGGTGAACATGGCCCCGGACAGAGTAAACAGGTGTTTATCTGGAGGGTTGAGGATGTGTCTGGGGCCCAGCCGCTATACCCCATCTGTCCCAGCTCTGAGTCAAAGTGCCCCAGGCTTGCTAGACCTCCCACGTCACTCAGTCACCTCCTGTGTAGGTTCWCCATGACCTAGGTTCTCCTAAACCTTCAGAATCCCCCTTCACAGCAGAAGAGCCCAAGACATTCAGCTTCGACAGCAGGTTCAGACAGTTCTCTCCAGCTCCACGCTGTTTTTTACTGTTTCCCATTGAAAGTTCCTTTTACAGAGGCTGAGGCAGGAGGCTCGAGAGTTAAAGGCCAGCCTCAGCAACTTGATAGGCCCTAAGCACTCAGTGAGCCCCTGTCTCAAAATAAAACATAAAAAGGGCAGGGGATGTGGCCCTGTGGTTAAGCACCCCTGGGTTCAATCCCCAGTACCCAAATAATAATTTGAAAAGCTGGGGGGTATAGCTCAGTGGTAAAACACTCATGAGTTAAATCCTTAGTACCCTAAATAAATAAATAGGACTGAGGGGGCAACTCCATGGTAAAGTGCCCCCCTGGGTTCAATTCCCAGTACAAAAAAGCTCCCACCTGCCCACTCCTGACTGTGCTATCTCAGGCTCCAGAGCCCAGATGAAATGCCGTGGTCCCCCTCTCCCACCCAGGAAGGGCTTGGAAGTGGACTAAGCTGTCAAGAGTCAAAGAAAACAGACCCCAAGAGCTCTCCTGGAATGTAGTTGGGGAATGGCCAGGCCTGCCCTCTTCCATTGGGCCACTGTATCCACGGGGCTCTGCAGCACGTCCAATGTCCACTCTCGGCACACACCCGCCCCCCCACTGCAGTGAACTCCCAGAGGCTGCCAAGAAGTGAGCTGAGCCTTGAAGGAAGGACAGATAGCGTCTGCCCCACCCCACGGCTGCCCCAGAGCTCCCAGGCCTGGGTCGGGTTGCATATATTGAGGTTCTCTTTAGAAGTTGCATATATTGAGGTTCTCTTTAGACTGAGAGGGGAGTTGAGGAAGGGCCAGTGGATGTGGATCAGGGTGTGGCCACCCTTCTGGTGACCCAGCCCCCATCCCTCGACTCCTTCCAGGTTCCTTCGCAGCCAGGATCCTGGTGGGAAGACCCTCCTGGGAGGCTGTGCTGGGGCAAAGGAAGCTCTCACTTCCTGAGCCCWAGAGTAAGAGACCTTTGCAACAATCTGTCACCACCCCACTGTCCTACCCATGCAGCGCCTCAGTGCCCAGGACCCAGGGGCCAAGGGCTTTACCACTGCCCTCCACAGTGGCTGTTTGGTCTGGTGAGKTTCCTTCTACAATTTCATTCAGAACAAACGTTTCTTCTCCTTAAAACCCCAAAAAACTACAAATCCACCCCTGGGCCCCGTTTTTATCTCAATTATTCTGGTCATAGGACTTGTCCAGCTGGTGAGAYGACACCCAGCCACCATACCTGCTGTGTTTGAAGTCACTGCCAGGGCTAGGGCTGGGGCWCGGTGGCAGAGCACTTCCCTAGCATGCATGGAACTCTGGGGTTCATGCCCAGAACTACCAAAAATTAAAAACTAATAACAAAAATCTTAAAAAGCCAAGCAGCACTTAGAGGGCAGCCTGGGTGACAGCCTGTATTTGARTCCCAGCTGTGTCACTCTGGGGCTGGGCCAGGGCTTTTGCCTCCTGAGCCTGTTTCCTCAGACTCCAAATGCTCATGGAGGCAGAGTCCCCAGGATGTCYACCTTCAGTGGCCTCCGCTGCTGAACACCTGGGGCAGTTATAGGGGAGGAGGGAGGGTGGAGTCTGGGGAGCGCAGTGCCCCACCCAACCCTCGGAACAAAACAAGGGGTCCCACCCTTCCCTGAAGCAGCTCAGACTTGGTGGCGCCCAGGGGCCAGAGGGGTGGTGGCCAAGGGGGCTCAGGGCTGGGCTTCCTGTGCACCCAGAGGGACCATTAATTGCAAAACCACATGGGGCTGCAGCTGGGAGAGCGTGGGAGCCCCTATGGCGTGCTAAAGCAGCCAGGGGAAGGTTTTTGGAAGAAAACCCAGGATGACAAAACCACCATATGTCCACCCATTTGGAGCTTTGGACATTTCAAAGGACACACCCCTGGAGTGCCTGGGGTTGGTGGGATGGGGGCTGCCAAGGAGTGGGGTGGGGACTAGTGGCTGCTCAACCTAGCCAGCTCCATCAGCCCCCCAACCCCCCAACACACACCTTCAAACCAGAACGAGGTGCCTAAGCAGCAAAAGCAGGTGCACGGAGCTCCCCACTCCAAATCCCGGCTCTCCTAGAGAGACATGGGAGGAGCCAGTGGTCGCCATACATGGGCCTCATTAGCCCCTCACGTCTGAGCAGGTGCGGTTCTCCATTATACACAAATGTGTCCAAACAGCAGGGACAGGACTTGCCCAAGACCACATACCTGGGCCCCAGTGCGCAGGGCTGCAGGACCCTGCGGCCAGCTGCTGCTCCCTGCTCCCCTCAGGTAGGAGTGGGCACCATACTTCCTGTGGCTCAGAGCAGGGCAGCAGCTTTCAGCAGCTTCAGAGACCAGGCTGGGGGACTCTTCCTCAGCCCCCCAATAAAACGGAATCTCTCTCTGGGCTGGGGATGTGGCTCAAACAGTAGCGCGCTGGCCTGGCATGCGCGGGGCGCTGGGTTCGATCCTCAGCACCACATACAAATAAAGATGTTGTATCCACTGAAAAATAAATATTTAAAAATTCTCTTTCTCTTTCTCTCTTCTCTATCTTAAAAAAAAAAAAAAAACAACTGAATCTGAATCTTGGGAGAGGGAGCCCCGCAGAACCAGCCTCATAAAGACTGCAATGTGAACTTTGGAGGTGGCAGACCCTGGAGGCTGCATTGTGTCTGAGCCTCCTTCCAGCTCCAGAGGGCCAGGTTTGGGGCTCAGAAGACCTGGGGTCCCTGCTCATTTCTCCTGGGCTCTCGGAGCCTCTCCCTGCAGTGAGCAGCCTTCTCGGGGCTTCTCCCCTTTTCAGAAACTTCTCTTTCTGCTGGGCCTGGATTGCTGAATCGATCTCTTTTCTCCATCGAAGGCTGTTTGCAGAAGCCTATGCAAAGTCCACTTGGTCTGGCCTTTCCCTGTCCCCTGGCCCCAGCACTTGGGCACCATACAGTACCCGTCTACTGCCAGGCACTGACCTAAGCAGGGAACCCAGGCACGCGGGCAGGGTGTGGACTGAGGGCAAGAGCCCAGGGCTGGCACTGGCGCTAATCTGTGAAGGAGTGTAATCAGAACTCTCCTGGCTGGGCTCTTGTGGAGATAAGAGATCTGAAGTCACTTTGAAATGCTAAGAAGCACCTAAGAATGCAAGGTGTTATCATCATGACCTCTGCCTGAAGGCTGGGGGAGGGCTGGTGCCAGCACCTCCATACCAAAGGGGCTTAGGAGGTAGGTGAGGGCTGCCGGGCAGCAGACGTCTCCTACTGTCCTCAGCCTCTGGGAAACAGTGGCCATGAAGGAGGCATTTG